CAGAGAAAGAAATGAAATCTGGATATTTTGGCCATTCAGACACCACAGCAATGCTGAGATCCTTGGTTCCCACTGTTTCTAGAATGTAAAGTACTTAAAGGAAGAAAAGCGCAGGTCTAAAACTAGACCTGCTGCAAAGGCACTGCAGACGGGGGTGGACAATGTGTCTCATGCTTTTTTTACATGTAGTACTTTGACCTCTTTGTGCCGTTTTTGTCTCCAAATGTCTGATCTCCCTGGAAAACCTAAAATGATTCATTTAGTTCTTATAACCCCCCTGGAATAACTTTCATTCTCAGAAATTTCAGGTTTAGGGAATCAGCTCACCATTTAGACAAAATACCCAGGCTCTGAAGAAAGAAAAGTCTGGCAACTGTACCTGAGGGAGTGAAAGTGCGAGGAATATCTTACTACTCGTCTAGTAAAACACAGTACAGGGCACCTTTCTACTGAACACAGGCCAAGTCCCCAGCCAAGGACCTTGCAGGGAAGAGCCAAATCATGAGTCTGTCCTAGGCCTACCCCAGGGGGACAGCCAGCTAAGAGGTCTCTCTATTCATCCCTCGACACCAAGCCTCTCTGCAGGGGTAGGTGTGGATTGTACAGGGACAGGCATGGACCACCTTAAACTCTAGCTCCATAGCTGTGGGCTGTAGAACTGAAACCAAAAAAAAAAAACCACACAAAAACACCATGCCAATCTATAACACTGTGGGCATCTGCACTGGATAATCTCCTTTTGTAAAGCACTAAAAAAAAGCACAGTAATGTTTACATAGTAAACGTGGTTACTTACTGTGTTAAGCATCATACTAGGCACCAGATGCTTGTGAAAGAGCAGAGCAGAAAACAGCATAGGCTCTAGAACAAGACACACTTGGAGTCTGATCCTCAATCTGACCTGTATTTCCTCCTCTGTAAAGGTGAGTTAATAGAGTGTTAAGAGGGATTAAATGAGATACTGTAACTCAGGATAGTGACTAGCACACAAGAAAAATGACAATAATAGCTAACATTTAGTGGTTACTTACTAGGTACCAGACACACACTCTCTCTTTCTTTCTTTCAATATATTTTTAATGTATTTTATTGATTTTTTACAGAGAGGAAGGGAGAGGGATAGAGAGTTAGAAACATCAATGGGAGAGAAACATCGATGAGCTGCCTCCTGCACACCTCCCACTGGGGATGTGCCCGCAACCAAGGTACATGCCCTTGACTGGAATCGAACCTGGGACCCTTCAGTCCACAGGCCGACGCTCTATCCACTGAGCCAAACCGGCCAGGGCTCTTTCTTTTATTTATTTATTTAAATTTTATTTTCTTGTTTAAAGTATTACAAATAGTAGTACATATGTCTCCTTTTTTTCCCCA